AGTTTTCACCCCAAGTCCAACACCCAGAGACTGTACACCAGCCGAAAAGAGGCTGGGCAGGATCTGGTGCATGTCAAAGCCACTGAACTGAATGAAACCCAGAGTATGCAAGAGTACATCAGAAAGATGGCACCCAAAGATGAACTGCTGAGACAATGCCTGAGGCAGATGTGGGAGGAAGTTCAAGTAGAGGAAGTGCCATGGCAAGACACAACCCTGCATAAGATGTACCATCGACAGATAGCTGAGCTGGCTGACACTGGGAAATCCTACCAATGGAAAGGGCTGGACTGAAAGACAGCACTGAGGTACTAATCATAGCAGCACAAGAACAGGCACTAACCACCAGATCCATGGAAGCAGGGGTCTACCACACTAAATAGGACCCAAGGCGCAGACTGTGCAGAGAGGCCTCAGAGACACATGCCTTAGGCTCCTTAGTTATCACATATCCTGCAGTTCATGTGCAGAAGAGGCCAGTTATAAGATACAGAGGTAAATGTTCTCACAGAGCAGAATGACATGGAGCATCATTGGATAATAAGATCACCACAAGTCAGAACCATGGACTGCTGGTGTTTGCAGGAAGCATTCAGCTAAAAGGCATAAGATTGATAGTGGTTCCATTCAAAGGAAGGCATATTGGAATAATTGTCTGGAATTGTAAAAGAATACTTTTTGCCATCCACTCTCAATACTCTTCTGCCTTTAATATAGCAACATGGAACAGAGAAATGTTATTCTACTTCTGCAACACAAATGTTTTTAAGAAATGGCCTCCCCTTTGAGCAAAAAAGAAGCTATTCCTCCAAAACTTATTTTTTCCTTTCCCTCTACAATTTAATTCCCCTTTTTATCATCTTTATTAGATGATGATCCTAGCAGAAACTATTTTTCTAATGTCAGTAGAGTGCTTGAAAGTTTTAGGACAATCTATACTTGGGTAACTAATAACAACAGCAATACTATAAATTAATGTAAGATAAACTTTTGAGTTAGATGTTTATCATTATGTCAATGAAAGAAAAAGCAAATTTTCAAAACAGAAATCTACTCATAAAGACTGTAATCTTTGGGACAGACAGTAGCAGAGCACCCTCTCAATTCCTTGGCCGCTTCTGCTTACCTTTGTGGAGAGTCTGGATCAAAGCAAGTTTTCCTTACGTTAGTTACTTTGGGGTTACAACAGTCTCCATCATCAAAATTGTGCAGCATATTGTTGCATTCCATGTTGCAAACCCCATCCCGGCGCTCCCAGACATAGCAGCGCCCCAGCCAACGGCAGTCACCACCATCATAACCAGTCAGTGGGTGCTTGCACTCAGGGTTGCAAAATTCATTGCCAATTTTTCCAGGCTCACAGTTCATCAGAATCGCACGGTAGCGGAGCAATGAATTATATACTTTGTGAATTCTAAGTTGCCAAGTGATGTTATAGCGGCCAAAGGCCTCGTTCAACACTTGGTGCTGATGGGCAATCTGCTCCTCACTCACAATAGGATGGAGACCATCATCGTCATAGATATTGACCACACGATAGTGCACTACTTTCTCATTCCGTAGGGGCCAGTGGCTGTTGTAGTGAGATATCAATTCCACATTATCACAGGCAGTCTGTCCACAGAGTGGGGGTATAAGCGGAGACAGAACGTGAGGTTCTGGTATATATATAATCTCTACTTGTGGGTAGGCTCCATCCTTGAATGTAACCCACTGCTGTGGCAAACGGCTGAACTTTGCACTGAGCAATAAGGAAGTTTCTCTGTCTTCAAACTTTCTCAGGAAGGCCCTCTGGAGTTTCTCTTGGGGCACAGCAATGCTCCAAAGGGCCAGCAAAGCCAGGTAGCCACGGAAGTTGTGTCCATCTGAGTTGCTGCCTCCCAGGATCAAAGTGCGGCAAGAGGCCATGAAGGGACTGTGAAGGTCACCAGACTGCTGGGAGCTGCGAGCTACCCGCTTGCCATTGACATACAGGAGCATCTCCTTCCCACTGTAAGTGGCAGCCACGTGAATCCATGTATGGAGCTGGTAACGGTGGTATGCCAATATAGTGGCAGACCTCTTGATACGGTCTGTACGGAGTGAGAAGAAGAAACGGGCGTTCTTTCTCCCAGGATTCTCCTGCGAACGGATGCCCAGAGTCCACCCCTTATCGCTGCCAATGTGAGAGCAATTGTCAAATACACCTGAAGGGAGGAGACAGAGAGAAAAAAGGGAAAAAGAATGCAGAGCTGGAATGCTAGTAAAAGCACCATATCATCTCCCATCTCAAGAACAGAAGCAGTATATATCACATGGCATAGCTGCAGTAAAATTACATATTTAAACTGATTGGAATGTCTCCCCCCTCCCCCCCAAGACTCTTGGAAATTGCAGTTTAATGAAAATGATTTGTCTAATGACTTAGGTAAAAGAGTAGTACTGTAGACACCATTTGCATATCACACTGTATCAAGTATTCAACTTGTTCGGCTCTGCAGCCAGCCTTCTTCCTCTGCCAGCGGAGCTATCCAGAGAATTGGTGCTGACTGAGCAAGGAAAACCCCAGAGGAGCATTACAGCAAATGGCTCCGTCTGACAATTCCCGGTGTCAGTCCCATCTGTATTTCCTGCGCAGTGAGGATCATCCTTCTTCTGGAAAACAAGTCCTTAATACAATTGCTTGCTGAGACAGCTGGGTATACTCGGGAACATCACTCTTCATTCTGTAATTAGGCCACTATTATTTGGACATTAAGTACCTGCAAGTATTTTGCATCATGTATCCCTCTTTAGTTTTATTAGTATTATTATTTGTTGTTATATGTCAAGTAAACAAAGGGTGACAAATATTAGAGCAACACAGAGATGTTTCCAAACATACATTCTTCATAACGAGAAAGATGCCATTTAAATTAAATAAATTAAAATCTGAAATATCCCAAATGTCTCCTTAATACGAAGAAACGTAAAGTATATTTCACTGGGGCTTCTTGTGAGCTGCTTACTGTTCTCCTTAAAGCCTGTAATTTGGGATCTTGAATTGAGAACCTTGTAGCAGAGACCAGAAGATTGGTCTGCAGGGCTAACATCTACTCAGGTGCAAAGAAGGATGGACTAAGAATATACAAAATAGCCGCTGCTCATGAGATCAGTATAGAATACCTTACCCCAAGGTCTTAACTATCTGCCTAATAGAATACAGTCCTATCTGCTGGAGAAACATACCAGTTTCACATACGGCCTGGCCCTGACATTCATAGAGGTTTGCTAATCCTCCTTCTTCCAACTTATAAATACAGATAAAAAGAATGCCATTTTAGCCGCATATATAAATACACTGTTGTGACCATCACCCATCCTGTCATTCAAGATTGGAATAATTAAAGATTTTAACATGTGCAACACTAAAATTCCAGAGACATTATCAAGGTCTACAAAATTTACTGATGAAGAAAAAAAATGAGGTCAAAAATCTCAAAAATACCCACATCCTCATTTCCATATTGATCAAATATTAACATGGCAGAAAGAAAATTAGAGACTATTTTCAGCCTTGGGTTCCAATTACTTTCCCAGATCATCTGGAATTCAGTAATATGGGGGGAAACGTTGGAGCCAAAATGTTTGGTGGCTAAAACCTGCCTCTCTCACAGGATTCAAAGGTGAATGTGAATCTCTGAAAAATGTCAAATTCTTCTGACACTTGCACTAAATGCAAATTGCAAGATACTTCAGTCATAGCCCTTTTCTTTGCACATATGAAACTCCATAAATACCATGGTTTAGAAATAACAAAACATAACTGGGAGGGGGAAGGTACGTGTACCCCTCAGTACGTTTTGTTTTCTATGAATAGCTTTGAATGTTGAATTCTTATTTGCTTTTCATGAATATGAGGTTATGACTACTGCTTCCAAAATGAAGAGTTGACAGCACAACATGTCAATATATTCCCATAGGAAATTTTATTCATTTTCTGGCCATTTTCTAAGCTTTTAGCAAAAGCTGCTCACATACCTACAGTTTAAGAAGTTTGTTTTAATGCAATAAAAGAATTCTAGGGTTAAATATTCCATGGCAGCAGACAGCTTCTGCACTGGAAGCTTTTGTCAGTTGACAGAGCCATCAAAATATCTCAGCTTTATTACCGTTGCTCCAAAGCAGTGTTTCTCAAAGAGTGGTCTGTCTGCCACTGGGTGACCTCTCAAGATCTGCCAGGTGATCTGCCACAGCCTCCCACATTAACTAGATGATGAGGAGGAGGAGGATTAAATATTACCACCATTATTTGTTTTAAAAGACCTTTAAAATGAGGGGAAAGTCATGCACAAAGACAACTATATTATTATTTTATTTGCTGAAAAACATGAATTGCCATTCCCTTAAAGATAAAAAATATAAAGGAAGGGGTTTGTTTAACTGGATGGTCTCCACATTTTTCAAATGTTTGTTTAGTGATTCATGATACACAAAGTTTGAGAAACAACGCTCTAAAGGGATCACTTAACATAAACTTTCCACCACAGCCTCACTGAATTCTGCTTATAGACTAAACTTCTCTTTTAGGGATTCGTGACATCATACTAAGCATGAGAATGTACTCCCCCCCCCCCTTCCTCACTTCATGGGCTTAGGCATACACAGTACATTAAATAATACAGGCATATCTATCATGCACACTTTTCCCAATATTATTGAAAAAAAATGTTTGTTGGACCAAAAACTCCAGGAACAGAGATTCAATACCTTTCTCCTAAATGTCATGATATTCAGCTGGAGCAGTATATTAAACTATTTATGTATTTAACATATATACATGGCCACTTGGACAACAAACAAAAACTGCAATCATATTCTATATTAAAATAGCAAAAAAGAAATAACAATTGAGGCCCCTGAAAATCTTACAATTGAAAAGATAAAAGCTAATACAAAATAAAAAAAGAAAACAATAAAAAGAAAAAACAGAAAGTGCAGACAAGAAAAAAATAGAAAAATAGAAAAGAAGGAAAAGTAAATATAGTAAAGAAAAAGAAAAGAAATATATAAGCAAATGACTTCCCTCTTCATCACAAGTATAAACAATTTTAGTAATTTATCACCTTCTCTTAAAATACAACAAATGATTAGCATAGCTGTCTTCAGTTCACCATTTCTTCCCGGAAGTGTCTCTTAATCTTAATCCTAAAGGAAAGATTAACTCTGTACTGTTTGGACGATTACATCTTTGTCAGCTGTCACTGTACAATTAAATGAAATAATAGTGGCAACGTTTTGCTCTGTTTCCTCATGATTATTTTATTATCTTGTCCAAGTATACCAAATATCTGAGTGGAGCAAAATCTTCTCTGCCTACTTGCAAATATCTCAAATTGTTCCCACAGATCCTTCACTGCTGCAATCCGGTAGGTTACTGACAAACTTACTTTCTTCCCCTTCAATTTCACCACCACCCTGTGCTAAGCTTTACCTTGCTACAGACCCAGCTCTTCCTGCTCTGGAAAACCAGAGAACCTGCTTTGGAAAACTTCAGAATGTTTTCAGGGTCTTGTCTCAGAAGCCAGGCCAACAAGTGGGAATATGGCCAGGTATGTGTCTGAAGATGGGATCAGAGAGTTTTACTCCAGCAACAGCTTTAATGAACAAGCAATTCCCATGGTCAGGCAGCCAGCAAGTGGGAGGTCAGCAAAGGAATAGGTATACAGAAAGTGGAAGCAGAAGAAGCCAGAGACAGGATCTGGATGCAAAGGCAGCTGGTACAAGTCTAGCTCACCCATCACTCTCTCATTTTGCAAAAGGTATCACTGAACCACAACCCCTTATATCTCCGGCCAGCCTTATGAAGAAACTCGGCCCCAAATGCCTCCTCCAGGAAAACTACTGGTGTTGCTACTGAAGCCAACCCAACAAAAACCAATCCTAAATTGGATTATTAAAATGCAAACTGGTATTTATGAAAAAACATAAGAGCGACTATTTAAAACTGAGGCTGTGGCTCTTAACAAAGGTTGTTCAAAGAAACGTTCCCACCTCCCTGCAAGTTCTTCGGTTGAGGCCAGAAATCCATGGGTTTTATTATCTATCATAACACCTCCTCCCATACTTTAACCTTCACCCACTCGCACATTTTCCCCTTCATTTGTTCCATGTTATTTCCATTCCCACCTCTTCAGCTCCTTTCCTCATGCTTCTCTTTTTCACAGCCTGTCACATATTTGTCAGGGCACGTTAGGACAATGCAATCCTGTACTAGTAACTCATTTTTCCCTTTCTTCTACCAACTTTCCTTATCATTCAGGACAGAAATACAGTCGGCTTTTCTCATTGCCCAACAGGGAAATGAAGGAAGAGAGCAGCTCTTCTTTCAGGATCATAGTCTTCTAATGCTTTTTGGCTTTGTGGTGGTAAAGATGAAGAGCATTAAGACTTTATGCTTTTGGGTTGTAGCTTCCTCTCCTTCAATCCTTTCCTTAGGAATGCCTGACATTTCTGGATAATTCTTAGATACATTCTTCCATCTAATGAATCTTTGTACAGTAAACATGTTTATACTGTTAAATACATGGGCTTTTTAAAAAAATCTGTCTTTGGGGAAAATGGCATCCAGGAGGATCAGTTGTTCATGGGAACTGCTCTACTCTAAACGGGAAAAGGCTTCTTTCCACATACTAAAATCTTCATGCCCTATATCAGGAAAGGCCATTTTGCAAACTACAGACTCTTTTCCTGCCCTTACCTCTTCCCCCAACCCATTTTTCCCTATCTGTGTTACTGTTTTTCTTTCTTTTCTGTTGTTACATGTATTAGCTCTGATGCCTCCACCTGTTTTCAAAGATGGTAGCAATTACTTTTGCAGATGAAAGGAGGAATGAGAAATCTGGCCCATGACATAAGATTCAGCAGTTAGTTCATGCCTCAGATATGAATAATTTATGCTCACAATTTCAAGCAAGCCAAAAAACTCTCCTTCTCCTGCACTGCTTAGCCTCTTCTGAAAAAAGAAAAAAGAAACATACAAAACCATGTGGTTTGAATTATTGTTACTGGTCCTGTTCTCTATATTGTACATTCAATTAGGAATGAGCCGAACTGAAAGATGAAAATGCTTCAAGAGTCTTATTATTCTTCCTGATTTTGATCATACCTATTTCTAAGTTTCATGACTGGATGTACTTAGGATACCCATAAACAAAAGAGAGCAAGA